TTGTGTGCTGAGACTTGGAGATGCAAGCTTGCGCTGCTGCCTATTCAAATGCAGCTTTTCATGTCCTCTTGGGCACCACTAGGTCTTGGCATTCCTCTTTCGGAAAGATTTAAAGCCCAGATGTTGATATTAAGGTTTCATGTGTATGTCAGGATTGCACGTCTAGATTTTGAAGCCCCAGATTTGCCTGACCACGGGGCTCCAAATAGCCCAAGGTAGCAATTGCGGCCTTAGGTCCCAGAGTAGGTATTGTTTTTAGAGTAGCCTCTATTGTTGATTCTTGAAAATGCCCTAAGTACAACACAAATCCATACTTGTTAATCCAATACCCCGTATACTAGCCCTGGTTATCCCCACTAGTAACCTAGTTACTATGTCCCCCCTGACCTTCCAAGTAATTCGTATCAAAAGTGGAGTGAGGTGCTGCATGTGTCAGGCAAGCTTGGGTTCCAAAGTCTGATCCATTGGCTCAAGGGTTTCAAAGTTCTACCCCCTAATTTTGCTGTAGTCTAGGAGTCTTAAAGGGGGTTACATAGGAGAGTATTTTTGGGGAGTATTCCAGGGGATACCAGGAGTTTACGCTATAGCTCAATTAGGCAGTCAGGGGGACTTAGTAAGTAGATTAACATTGAGGGTAGCTGGTTTTAGTACATGACGCTTACGGATTCATTTATATATTTACTCACCCCCCTCGACCCTCCAAGTAAGATTCTATTCCCTGGGTTAAGTGATTTTCGAACCCTAGGATAACACAGGGTGCGCATGAGGGTTGTGATGGGCAACATTGCGAAGCCTTTGAAAGAACGACTTGAGAGGTAAAACCATGGAACTTTTATTGAACTTAATTGGTTAGCTTTAGCATAAACAGTTCTCACTTTGACCTTGCTATTTAACCTACAGTCAGCGCTCTACAAGGAGAAGGCAATCATCCTAGGACTCATTGTACCGAGGGAGTTTTAGAATGTCGTCCACCAGGCCCTAGACCCAAAATCTTAAGCTATACTCGAAACTTCAAACTTGTAGGAGTTCAAGTTGCATATGTAAAACTTAAAACTTGAAACCCCCAACCTTCAACTGTAAACCCCAGCCCTAAACCTCAACTAGGATGAAGTGGAAGAAAGAGCTCATAGAGATGCGTCGCCAACGTTTGGCCATGCCCCGGATCCAGGCCCTGAAGTAGTTGAGTGTGTAGCTTGGGGGATGTAGCAAGTGGATACATTATACTAGGGTAACATAGGGTAATATAGGGGTAATATAGGGGTTATATAGGGATAGTTTAGGGTTTAGGGTTAAGGGTCAGGGGGAGTAAGTGGGTTAATAATGGGGATAACTAGGGTTACTATATGGGTTATAGGGAATATTAACCTACTTACTAGGTCCCCCTGACCCTCCAAGTAGCTTGGGGCCTAGAGGGTCTGGGGCTTAAAGATTTTTGGTTCCTATGAGTCACAATAGGGAGCCAAGAGCTATATGTTCCAGAGACGTCCTACAATTAGCTAATCCAATATAGAATACCCTTCTACCCCTAATATTAGATATATCCTCCAATATTTACAGTCTCTGAGCCTCTGAATGCTTAATCTTAGGGGTGGGGTGGGGTGGGGGGGGAGGATGCCTTTCATGAGTTCTGTATGGTGTTAACGTCTAGGGTATAGTAGGGGCATAGACACTTCGGAAAAATTCCTTGTTCCATGTCACTTTCCATGCTCTTTTCCATTGTGGGTAACATCCCTTTGAAGAGTATATCTTTTTTTTCCACCTGCATCTGCCAAGGACTTGGGCTTTAATTGGGGTTATGTAGGGGTTATATAGGGATAATGGAAAATATAACGGGAGCTATTATAATGCGTTATACTAAAATAGGGTTTAGGGTGTAGGGTCAGGGTTTAGGTTTATTTGCACGAAGATCTGCCTTTGGCAGCGCGGCAGGCACACGGAGGTCCATGGGTGGTTACAGTGGAGAATCACAAGGACGATGACAAGCAAATTAGGAGTTTATGTGGATATGAGGATTAACTGCATGGTGTTTAACACCTACATATACCTGTACAAAAAGCACAACTATAACCTCCCTGTGTACTCTAAAAATGGTTGTACTTGGGTTACATCGTCTGCTAATATCCCGATTTAAAAACCTACTTGCTAAGTTCCTTGGGCATCCAGGTGGTGATTTGCAGTCAGTGAGCAGCGAGAGAGGCCTTGCTTCAAGAGACGACGTACGAAGGTTTTCCATACACTGCAACACCCTACTCCAAATAGGGTACTATACTAAAGTCGCGTAAGGATTATTAGAATGTTTTCAGTAAATATCAGAGGCCCAGATGGATTGCCCCATCTCAAGTGGGTATTGCGTTGGCTTTCGCAAGAGGTAGGCAAGTGTAAACACAAGCTCGGCAATTCATTGTAATTTTTCAAGCCCTGCCACTGCTTACAAACATCCACATAGCTTTTATGCAACTCCAGAATACCTCCTAGGAAGCGCAATTTTGAGACCCCCTCTGTTGAACAGATAAGAGGCCTGCCTCGGAAAATCACCCTTGCAATGGTTTTGCTTCAGGTGGCTGGCAGCCCCTTCCCATGGAAGGACCAGGCTTTGACGGTCTGAGCGTATGGCACTGGAAAGCCCGACGTAAAAGCAAATGGGAACTGGAAGGGAAGCCACTACGTTGTTTAGGGTTCAGGATTTTGGCTTAGGGTTTGGGGACCAAGATATAGGGCTTAAGGTGTAGGGTTTAGGATTGAGGCTTCAGGGCCTAGGGCTGGTGCTTACTTGATAGGGGGGGAATTCTTGGGTCGCTTAGTCAAGATTATATGTCGACAGCTCGAACGCAGCGTTAAGGATCGATTCCATGTAGCCAAGTAGGCACCCATTTGCAAAAAAAAATATTACGAATCGTCTGCATAGTCTATGGGATCCCCAAGAGCCATTTGCCAAAGATATTTTGTTTTGCGGATTGAGTAGAGGATTCGGAGTAAATTGCGTAGGGACATCCCGATATGATCCTGCGGGAATCCCAACAATCCATTGGGAAGAACATTTTGTCGAGTCTGTTGTTGGGGGGTGGCTTGCGTGTATGTTTGGAGACGGCAGCTTGGTGCTGGGTCAGGATGAAGATCGGGGGGTGCAAGACATCCACTGTAGAGGCTTGGAAGTCTTGTAGGGGGGTATATTGGGGATATATTGGAATAATGGACAAGAAGATGGAAACTATTATTTATGGTTTAAGGTTTATTTCGGTGAGGTCTGATGCTGCAGCATTTTCCAGGCGAACGCGGGACGGTGTCCAACAATCGGCAGCCTTCAATGCTGAATGTTGTTCGAATTATCAATATGTTGACGATGTGTTGTTTTCAACGGTGATTCCCCCGTGGACATACAAGTACTCGTCGCATCAAGCTTACCCCTCAGAGAACTCATTGCAGCTGGTGAGTTCCAGGAATGCTCACAAGCAGCCTCTGCGCAGGTTCAGGACTACATCTACCGCGTTGTGGAGGCTTGTGAGCAGAACTTTCTGTGGGCACTTGCAAGTGGTAGCGAATCTGGAGAAAGGCCAGTAGACGTGCAACGAAACACAAATGTCACGCTTAGATTGATAAGAAGCAGCACCAGGAATGAGCAGTTATACGCAGCTGTAGACGACTTGACGAAGACCTAGCACGAGGTACAGCAAGTAGACCTGCAACAAGCCCGAACCCTCATACTATGCCCCTATACCCCGAGGCCCAAGCATAAAATTGTAGGTCCGCGGTGTGTTCGACCACAGCAACGTGCAGGTCTCAGACAATTGCGCGTAAATTCTGTCCACAACAGTTTTCATACTGCAGCTCCTGTCTACTATCCACACACCTAAAGACTATTCAGGCAGCCACAAGGACGCTCTCAGCAACTTTTCAAGAATTGTGACCTTACAATTCAGGACCCTATGGCAGCCATTTGCTGTTGTTAGGCCCTTGTTGTGATTGCTGGGGCTTCCAATGCGTGGGAACGGCCTTCTCGAAATGCAGCTATCCTTGCGGATCGTGTAGGGAAATCACAAGGGTCCCCAAGAAGGATCCTGTAGGAATCATCCTGATAAATTCCCACAGAGATGCCCCCGAGACATCTGGAATCTGACGATCTGAAGTTGGCTTTCTGCCTGGAGCACATATCCTTGCCATTGCGTTTTGACCCGAAACTCCCATGAATAGTCATGGACAAACTTCAGATTGAGGCTTAGGGCTTCAGAGTTGGGGTTTGTGGGTTCAAGGTTGGGTGCAGGACTGCTGCTAAGCCCATGGGATCGCATGATCTTTTTTCTGGAGATCCTGAAATGGGCTTCCTTCTTCTCCCTAAGACTGAAGGGATGTGTTTGGCATTTAGTGTGGGAGTTGTTCTCAGAAGTACTCGTGCCCATGTTGATCTCGCTTACGGCGGTAAGCAGACGAGCTCAGGTGTGCAGATGTAAACCTATGGAAGTCGTGTTTGTATATCTTGGCTGCAGCACATCCTAGAAGAGTATCCTGGAAGGCCCTCTCCAGCTCTCCATTCACAAGTTGGGATGTTCTGAGGAACGCGATTCCTTAGGGACCCTGGGTGTAGGATAATGGGGCTCCCTCCTATGTAGGCACCATTTGAAAAAAGCATCGAATTCATAATCCATTCCCTCATTTCCAGCTATGCACCAAAGGGTGGTGGTGCCAAGGACATGCATGGGTTGGGCCAATTATGGCTACAATTCACAACCACCTGAGCGTAGGCATGCGCAACCCTACCTCTAATCACCCACCAACTTCCACTTGGAGGGTCCGGTGGACTTAGTAGGTCGGTAATAATGCGGATACCCCGAATCAATATATGGCCGAGAGGGAATGTAGGTGTACCTTCAAAGCAAGCGCTACCAAGGAGATAGAAGTAGGAAAGTTATACTTACAGCCTATAACTCGTTCTCACCTCATGTGAAGTTCCTTCTTCGGGGCACTACTAACTCTGCCTATGCAAACCTCCAAAAACCACCAAGGAGATGCATGTAGGGCCTCGGCCGGGTGCAGATGAGTCTGGCGAAACTACGCCAGGCGTGCTTGTGGTAACGCCCCTGCGCTTAGAGGACTGTGCTTATCATTCTTACTGCTCCTATTTTCATATTCCTATTCGTCCTACTATTGTGATTACTGATATTTTCTTACTAGTATAATTATGCCCATTATGTTCAGGGGTTTGGGAGTTGAAGAGCTTAGGAGAGGGCTCAGGGCCTGACTATTTGGATCTTCAGAGCCTGGCAGCGGCTTGGGGTTTCCGATTTCAGGGGCTGCGGAGGGATCTGGGTAGTTCCCAAAGTTAGGGTCCCATTTTAATACCCCGAAACATGAGTGAGGTCCATAACCGCACGTGGCCCATGATTATGAGATTAACCCATGTTATAAGTTGGGTACTGCCCCCACTCTGTAACAGGTTGGATAGTATTCATGATATGATTCTATATATATATATATAGAGCCCTTACTATGACCCCAAATATAGACTGTTACAGGGTGGGGGGGCAGTACCCCAGTTATGACCTCCCCTTTCGGGGTTCCATATTTTCCTGGAGAGTTGCAAAGAAAGTGGGCAGGCGAGTATCTTAGACTGCATGTACATATGTCTTGGGAGAAAACCGCAGAATCTTCCAGAGGGTCTAACTTACAGTCCAAACATCTAGTCTCTCCGAATCTTTCGTAAAGATTTGAAGCTGTGGCCATAGCTTTATCAAAAGGATGCAAAAGTGGGCGACCTCACCCGACCTCATCCTAAATGGTGCTGTATGTAGGGAAGAGTACCAAAATGGGCTTAGATTGGGAATTGAAACTATTCTATTACCCTGACAAAAGCATCAGGTATCTGGATGTGTGAGGAGGTCCTCTTAATCCAGGTTAGACCTTTTGTACCTCTATATCCTGAACCTGAAACCATGTAGTAGTTTTCCTTTCCATGATACAAACCCTTACAAAGCCCGTACCCCGTTTGAAAGGGCCTTCTTTTCCGAACTAAGCACAGTCTTTCGAGGTTGCGTGAGCCAATAGCTGAGGTATGGTCCGACAAAGCTGCGCAAAGGTAAGGTTATCCTCTGTAACCTGTATAGAATTCTCATATTTTGCCCATATAACCCCTATATAATTTCACCATACAATTCCCATATGATTCTAGGGCTTGGTCTATCTGCGGGATCCCGCATTGAGAGTTAATGCGGTTGCTTTCCATTTGGGTCATTGTATTGAAGCGCGCACAATAATTTTCAACAAGGCTTGAAAAGACATACACTTCCAAGTGATTTTTTACTAATAGCAAACTTGCGATGCAGGTTTCTCCTGCACCCTTCTTGTTCGGAGAAGTGGTCCGCAACGCGCTTCTAGCATGACTCTGATAATCCTCAAGCCCTAACTCGCCAAGTCTCTACCCGCACCTCAAGCCATAAAATGCAAACCTTAAACCTGAGAGACCTCGACCCCACAGTTGCCAGAGATGTTGCATGCCTATGATGCGCACGCAGGACGGGTCCACCGTCATGGCTTCATGGATGATGTTGAGAATTTAGTGTGTAGGGATGAGGTTGAGAGCCTGTGGTTTGTTTGGTTCCAAAAACAGGGGCAACTGTGGTAGGGAGGGCTATCCAAAAGTGTGCCAGGTTCTATTTTCCTTAGGATTCCCTTATGCGGCAAGCGCAAAATCTTCTTCGGCCTCAAGCTCAGCGCGTTTCTTTGAGGCTGAGCAGGCAAGAGAAAGACAAATTTTCGGGTTGTCTGCAAGTAGAGAATTCTGTGTAAAGAAGGGGGTGCGTTTGTTTGAGAACTGCCAACCCCCATCATACTCAAGGCCCAGTATAACGGACATAGGGACTGCTACAACTGTGCCAAGCCCATTCCCCCTAACATTAAAGCCCCCGCCTCCCCCCCAAAGAAGTAGACATTTATATATATATATGTATATTTTAAAAAAGATACCACACCAAAAGTATTAAACATTAGTGGCTTCGGGGTGTTAACATTAGGGTGAAGGGATTAATTGCACCACAGGCCCTGCTTGTTTTTGTGGTTCGTTTTAAAACCTAGGAACATTTTGGATGCCACAATACATGGCCGGGGCATTGTGAAGAATAAGAAGTGCCCGAGATATGAGAACAATCTTTCTTGTTTACGAGGTCCACGGTGAAGAAATATGTTCCTGGTTCAAGACAGCTTCTTCTCCAGCGTTGCGAATATGAGGCGAGATTGGACATCTTCATCATCCTCAGAGCTTCTGATAGACACGTGAGCTATAGTCTAAACTCCTGAAAAGGGCATGGTATAGGCGGTTTTATAGGGGACTAATATAGGGAGATTTCAGGGGATACTAGGAGTTTAGACTGTGGCTCATATGTCTTACATGCCCCCTGCATCCTTCGAACCTCACCGTTAGGAAGCCATGTAGGCATTCAGTCTTGCACAAGTCTTGGAATAGTTGCATGACTTCCGCACTCAGGCAGATCCCACAAGATGTATGCCAGTCTGGGCTAGTTGAGAACTATCAGATTCTGGCGCATTTTGTTTTTGTGGGTCCATGGAGTGTCTCAGCGGATATAAGTTCAAGTGTTACAAAGTCTTTTTCGATGCACATGTGCAAGTATAAGCACGCAAAATGAACTCGCACAATGCAAGGTTCTGAATCCCTAAGCCCCCATATCCCATAGCTGGAACCCAAGTTCCAGGCCGTAAGCCCTAAACCCCTGCCCTCAGCCCCGAATCTGCTTTCACCAACCCTGAACCCCATGTTAAGCACCCAAAGTAGACTGCATGGCTCCAACCTTGCCCTGGATCCTATACCTTGTATTTTGAGCTGAAGCCAGGAGACAACACCCTCAAAGCTCGTAGATCTAAGGTGAACCGAGGGCACCTGGCAGCCCACCGCATGGATCGGGCAACGCGCCCTGAGGTGCCCACGCTGTGCCCCCAGACTAGCCGAAGTTGCACTCAGTGGTAACCTGGTAAGTAGTAATGGTCGTGATGGCGGTTGCGGTACTCCTCTTAACCCCTGGGTCTTCTCGTACTCCCTATGCTTGATGCAGACCCTCAAGTCCTGGAAATTGCAGCGCTTCAAGGGCCCTAGGTGGTGCAAGATTTCCTCCATCAACAGGGTGCCTAATTCCCAGGTGGGTCCGCGTACGCGGAGTTCTAGAGGAGGGAGAGATCCCAAACCTGATCGGAAGGCCATGGCAGTTCGGGGTCAGAGCTAAGGGTGTAGGTTGGATTCTAAATACTTGCTTACGCTTTTTTGATCAGAAGCTGCATATGCAGCCGGTCCTGAAAACTTCCTTAGACACCAGGAGGGTCGCCTCCCATTGCAGGTAAGGCCTGAGGCAGAAGCCGATTGTAAAGGGGTGAGGGGTTCATTGCGGAAAGGAGGGGATTGGCATCCTTGAGGGGTCATTGTGGCTGTTACTATGGCCATACTGCATGCAAACACTGCGTGAGTGCACATATTCAGCGTCCAGTTGAATAATTGTTAATGGGAATTCTATCTCAGCAGTGGGCCCGGCCTCGGCTTGAATTGCGCACGGAGGCGCACCTTGCAGTAGCGGATCTTGAAAGGATCGTCATACAGGGCCTGCAGTATTCCTACTTTGCAATTCCGTGTAACGCCACTGTGAGAGCGGAACTATTTCGTTTTCTCCTTCATGCTCTTTGTAAGCAACCCTTGATTTCTGGGGCGTCCTGGGACCGTGGATCAGGTACGCGCGCGTCAAGAACCGGCCGGATAGAAACCAGGCAGGGGGCGCGATATGTATATATACATATATATATATATATGCGTGTGTGTGTTTGTGTAAGGAGGATAATTTTTTACAATGATTTGCTTAATTAATTTGGGTTCTGAATCGAAGGTATAGTGTTATACTATGATTGCCATGGGGCTAAAGGAGAGGCATCCGAAAAGTGGCCTTCGCCACATCAGCTTAAGATTGTTCGAAGCCCTCTGAGCCATGCAGTAACCCCAGTTATCCCCATTATGAACCTACTTACTAAGTCCCCCTGACCCTCCGAGTAGCAGTTCTAGTTGTCACGTTTTGGAAAATGCGATTTTCAGATACGAATCACGTCAGTCTTCGGAAGAACAGCAATCGAGGCGGGGTTTGGGGTTAGGGGGTTTAGGGAATAGGGTTGAGGGGGTTCACAGTAGCAATGATATGAAAGAGGATCAAGGTGATGGCATCTGCACAGCACATAGCAGAACAGAAATCCCAACTTTAGAGCTCAGCTATCCCCTCCCCTGTAATGAATCCCACCCAAGAAATATTCCCTGTAATATAAAATGTTACTACATTGAGGGGGTCAGGCGGTGGGGACATTATTAGGGATTATTTGGAACCTATTCAGTGGACATATAACTTCATATATAATCTACTTATTAAGTTCCCTGAGCCCTCGAATAGGAATTTGGAAAGCAATAGTGACAGCAACACTAGCTGGAGGGTGGTACCTAAGGGCCTAAATGGTTACCAAACTCCTTGCAAAATTGCAGGGTTGAGGCTCAACTAGATCTCAAAATGAAGCTACACCTATCGTACTTTGGTGATGTCTGACAAGTCAGTACGAATGTAGATGGAACATGCAGAGATGCTGCCAGATTGCTGGGCAAATTAGAGCAACTTCACCCGATCTGAGCCCAAATAGAACTTTACATAGAACATAGTCCCAAAATTGTCTTATTCCAGGCTTTGAAGTTACCAAAATATGCCCAGTAGAAACCTGCATGTCTGCACAAGAAAGAGTAGCTTACATGCTCAAGTACTTTTGTGCTCACTCCATTTGTACCTCTGCAGACTGCTATGATTCGAAAACCTCATACCTCTGTAGACATCTTGAGGGAGCCGAAAATGCATAGTTTGACAATTGGGTCACATCTTCTGGATGATGGATCCAATGAAGATACTGAGCATGTGGAGACGCAAGAAGGCACTCATGGTTTGAAACCTGAGGCTTCTGCGACCACAGCCAAAAAAGGACTTCCCAGACAAAGCCCTTTCGAAGTAGCATGTGGAAGGAATGACCACACATGCCACGTGATGCCCTGTTGCAGTACCTCTACCTCATCGCACCAGAGCTGGCGGAGAATGCCAATGCCCGGAACCACGAAGAGTGCAGCCAGGCGCATGTTGGGTTCGAGGTTTGAAGGTTTTTCGGATAGATTCAGGTCAAAGAACTAGGTTCATGGTTTTGGTAACGTATACGGAGGATTCTATACATAGAGTTTTTTGCGAAGCAATAGATCCTTCTGACCCTATTTAGCAAGCCGACATTGCCTAATTACAAACAAGAGGCGAGAGGCAGGTCCTGGCTGGGATCCTATTACTAGAATTAGCATTAGTAGGACTGTTATGACTATTATGATCACTACTATTATTACTAGCATATTATCATTACGCTTTGTGGTTCCAGTAGTTCTTCAACGGGACATTGCTTGCCAGCATCTGAAGGGATAGCAGCGCGCACATGCAGTGCCAATGCTCACGATTCACATCAACGATTCTGTGAGATCTCTGGTTACGGAGGCTCTCTTTGGAGTTCAGGAACTGTTACAGGGCTTCTACTGCAACCGAAGCTCCTAGCCCTCACCACGCCACAGTCTACTGTAGAGGAAGTCGCATGTCAAGGTAATTAACCTTAGATTTCTTTGCCGCCTAGACCTTACATCCCAGAGGCCATGACCCAGAACATTCGTCACAGAAGACCGACCTTCGGGCTGGCTTGTGAAAGGAAGGTTTCCATCTTAGGGCCTACCAGGACAGCACATGTATGAAGAAAGCAAAATGTTTTGTAGAGTGACTGTGCAAGTTCCTGTTGTTGTTTAAAGCACGATCTGCACTCAAACAGGGAGTTCCGCGGCCAAGGATTTCAAAGCCATTGATTGAAGTTCCGCAGCGTCCATCTGAAGAAATTGAGAAAGTTGAGGATCATTCAGGAGAGGATACCTAGAACTATACATTATAGTAAGCAAAATGCAACAACAGCAATCGTGAATTCCCGATAAGACGTCGTGTTCTTATGTTTCTTTGTACATAGGTATTCATAAATTTGTGCCGCAAAGTATTCTTCGTGATACCCTTCAGCACTGCGACTGCTTGTTCTCAAAGGCCCAAGGCTTGACAGCCCAGACCCCTTGATCCCATTCGTTTTATGGCTGCAATGCACAACTCAGTTACCGTACATTTCTGGGAAACAAATGAGCGTGGTGCGTCGAAACGGTCTTCAGCTTGATCCAGTTTAGGTTTAGGGATTCTTCTTGGTTCTTCCGCAAATCCGACACCTCAAGTGTGAGTGGCATATTTTGGACTAGCAGACCATGAATCTATGATTCTCTGGACCTAGTGCAGCTTTCCATTGCACAGCTCGCGATCCGTCAGAATTGCCCAGACATCCAATCTAGACCCTATTATATGGCCATGCGTAGGATGAATGTGTATGGCTGCCCCTATGTCAATCGTAGGACAATCTCATTGGGTTCCCTACTTACCCAGAACAGCCATCCCTCAAGCACAAGCAAGGCCCACAGTTCAGCATGAGACCATAAGAGCTGGAGAGGCTTTGGTTACCGCCATTGACGTTCTCTACGAGGAGCCCCTGCAAAGAGTGCTTCACTTCAACGTTGAAGAGTTCCAGAAACAGGCATGTGCCAGTATTTGTGTGACTTTGACATGCCTCACAACATCGGAGGGTCCCAGCATACGAACCCTCAAAAAGAAACCATTGTTCGGCACGGCACGTGTTCAAATTGCAATACAAATCTCTTTTGGCATGCATGCAACTGACCAGTGTCTAGATGTCCCAAATGCCCATGATAATGGCCAAGGAGTGGCTATAAAGGCTGTTACTAATAGTATTTGAGACGTCCAGGGAGAAGTTCCTGGTCAACTAAGAGGACTTCATTTTCTTGAACACTTTATCTAACCCCATGTGGCTACAAATCTTGGCTTGGGACGAACTGCAGTAGTAATCAAGAGCAGATGAATACGTTCACCATTAGTTGAACACCAAAGCTATGGTCCCCGTGCCCAGTGCTTTCGCATCATGAAGACAGTACGTATTTGGGCATATGGCCGACCAAAGGCGACACGAATATGGAGCCATTCTTTGAGACATGATTGTAGTCTCTAAAGTCAACAGCCCTTGAGCTGGATACAAGGACTGTTGGCATTTGTCGGGAGCTTGAGGAGACTTCTTGGCCCAGCATGCCGTTTTGGCTCCTAGCAGGGTTAGAGCTCACTGACAAAAGGCCACGGCGGCTTGGGAGAAGCTACTTGGTCAATCACATTCTTGCAGTAGCCCGGGTAGCCCAAGATGGTTGACAAGATCGAGTCGTGGTGGTCTCCCCTCTCCTAAAAGGACAATCCACCACTACTGCATGACAATGATTGCTATTGCTAGTGCAGTTGTTATGGCTATTTCTGCTATTATCGTTGCTGCAGATGCTGCTACTGTTAGCAGGCGCTGTTTCATTGGTGGCCGCTTTTTAGTTTTGCAAATGCTCTATTGGCGAACAGAAGCATACAGGACATGGCAATCTCGGCAAATTCGCTCTTCGCATGGAGACAGCGTTATCTCGAAGAGTTTGAGTTAAAGGTTAGAGACCAAAATTTCTTCCCACAAAACACATCTGCGAAGGCCAGGTTCAAGGTGCTTTGGAGTCTCCAGGCTTTGAAGCTTGAATGTATGTGTCAGTGCATCTGTTTCCATAAGAGACATTTCCAGAAGAGACATATCTGTTTGGGCCGTGATGCACGCAACAAACATTTGTGAGCGCTCGCTCTTTTCCAGTAGCAACAAACGGGAGTTTCTCAAAACAAGCCCCGCATACCACCTAATAAAGACGCCCATTACCCCCGATACGTCCCCACATATCCATGCGGTTTTCAATGTATGCCTATTTTGAGACATGTCCTAGTCTGTTTTAGACACAGTGCACAAGAAGCAGGAAAGCCGTGAAAAGATCACGCCGTTAACATGCCAAGGACTTCTGCTGGTGCGGCTCCCCCTACCTCTCACTCAGCATAACTTATGAGCGGTAGGCATGCAGACTGCCACCAAGACTTGGGTGCATGCAGCCTCCAGCTGAGGCTGTTTCGTAGGCTTTGCAGCCACTCGGAGGAGAATTTGGGAGACAAGGGCACATGACATTTTTTGGACGACCATGTAAGAAGGTTCTGTGAGAAGTTGGTCCTCTCCCTCCGTTCACAAACCGAGATTTTCTGCTGCGGAACTTCAACACGGTTACTCTCAATCGTACAATTAGCTACGCAAGTCCAAGGCCCAATAGAGCTACAGAGCCTCTGGAAAGGTTGCCCACTCTTCTCATTCTGTTCGATTTAGAGGACTCCTGTGTCCATCGTCTGAGGTATCTAGGTCCTATGAACATGTAGCCTGCTGACACTGCGCGATGCTGCATGTCCATAGACGCCCGAACCCTGCCAATAGCATGAACGCCTGCTATATTGAAATGGTCTGCTGCTTTTCTGGAGAGAAAGTGAAGCTTCCAACAGTGGAACTAGTAGGTATAGAACAGCAAACTTCCATTCAGGATAAGCACCGGTGGCAACACTTGTAATTCTATCCGCTCGTCTATGTTTTTGGTTTTCATTCACCGTCCCATGTCTCAAGCACAGGGCACACAGACTACACACCCCAAAAATGAACCTCTATGCCTTCACGCATAGTTGCGCATGCTGTCTGCTTGGACTTACTGGCTGTTAGTATGGAACGGAGGAATGGATCCCAACATATCATAGCTTCTATTTTCTTTTCCATTCCTTAATTCCTTACTAAAGACCGGCAAGTTGAGAAGCGCTGCTTGACAGGTGAGCTCCGCAGATTAATTTGCGGCTCCTCTTCAACTAATGCCATGTTCCTTCATCCAGGGTTTTGACTATGTGAGCCCCAGATTGAGTAAGGCCTTCGCAGGGATTCACAGGGATTAAGATAAAAGTCCGATTTGGGGTCTAGATGTGGAGTTTTCCCGGGATGGTATCAGGACTCAAGTACCACGTTCCAAGTCTGAAATTGCATAGCAAACACACGCAAATCCTGAGTGGCCAAAGCGGCAAGGGATTCTGGAAGTCAAACGACAATCACATTGCCAGCAGGAGGCCATATCACAAAAGGAAAGCCCATGCCTTGTACAAAGCACGACACCGAATCTCATGAACAACCATACAGGTTATAACTTCACCAGCATTGCGTGCAACTGTAAATTGAAAATGTGCGACCGAGGACGCCTGCAGCTTTTGCCCAGAAGTCTACGAGTTCGGCAGCGGGTTCGCCCATCATGAACCGCAACAAGGCTCTCCTCGATGCTCTCATGGGAGCCTTGACGACAAATTTGGCTTGCCATGCTTTTGTGCCACACAAGAGGGTTTATAGGGGTTATATAGGGACAATGGAAAAGAAAATGGAAACTAGTATACTGTAACTGGGTACATATTGGGGTTATTTACGGATAATGGAAAAGAGAATAGAAACTACTATGGTGCAGGCAGACAACAAGGATTATCTGCTTCAACAAGTTGTACGTTGGCTTGAAAATTTTCACCCGAGGCGCCAATCGGGACGTCTCCAAGAAAGACAAGGTCAATGGTCTCGCCCTCAAGCCAAAGAAGTGGCGTGTCCTCTTGGTGGTCATAGTGGTTAGAAGGAGAATTACCCAGTCCGGTAGGGGGTCGAGCACCAAAACAATAGCAACTTGCTGTGTCATGATGACCGGAAGGGGCGCAGGTTGTTGGCAATGACCCATACGGTCTAGTCCCCACCAAATACTCACCTTTCCTTCAACCTATCAATGGTACGTGTCTCTTCCCAGATGATGTCGCCGTTTGTGCAGTCTGGAAGAAACATACAACCATGGCATGCTTGAAATGGATCAGCTGACAATCATGATTTTGAGAAACCCCTGTACTGCATGAACACTCCACAGGCGTGACATGGCAGGGGGCATACTGTTTTATCGAACTGTTTTTGCCAGTTTGATTTTGCCAAGTCTCCTGAGCGAGCGAGCTGTAACCCTGGTCCCTTCGTACGTCAGGAATGCGTAGGCTCAAGGAAGAAGATTGAGGGCTAAACCTTGCTAAATTCAGCGAACGGGACCTGCGGGTATGGCGTAACCTTGCAGCATCATAGGTTACGGCATTTTGGTTTGACACTTCGAGGGCCAACGCCGCCACCTACCTCTGTCTAGGGAGACATACCGCCCTCTCATTGATGCTCCTGAGGTGAGCCTGAGTTCAAGAAGGACTGACTTGCGGGGGCTCCTGAGGTCTGGTGAGGTCGGATCTCTGCAAAGCAACTGGCCTGTCAGGAAGGTTCAGAGACAGAGCGTGCTTCCCCCAGTCTTGACCGCTCTTGGCATGCATGTGCCAGGATGACTACTGCAAGTACTTCCTTGTCGGGTACTGCCCCGGCAAGACGTTAGGCAGGGAGGTGGAGAGCGCCGCGGGCTTGGTCTGTCGTCGGAGTTGAACGTACGGATGTGCTTATGATACGGCCAGCTTGTATGATACCTCACCAAATTCCCGAGCAGCGACCCAGTCTTGAGGATTCGCGCAAAACATGCGAGCTCAGGTCAGGGCCGAGTTTGACCCGAAGAGCGTCATCCCGCCCTGCGCGGCTCTTAGCTCAACGGCCTTTGACTTCAGTTTCAGGTATGTCCCAGCCCAAACTAGGAAGACCCTCTAAGAAGGATTTCCTTGCAGCCCTCTTTGATTTCGTGGTAGTTTCTTGGAGGTCCGTCCTGTTCGGAAGCCCGTGAACTTATATCTATATATACTGTGGTTTAAGTCGGCATGGTGTTCAGGGCTTATGGATAAAGATATTCCAGTTAACAAGATAGCATTCCTATGACGATGATGGTAACCTCTTTCCCCTGATGCTACATGCCCCCAGCATCCAACATTGAGCATTCCGGAAGGCACAAAAAAAGTGAAGATGAAGGCGGTGTGAGTATATCAGGCAAAGAAGTACCTTAGCTGAGGCAACAAGCTCCACTCCATTGGAGTCAGGGAAGAGTTCAAACTGCACAAGGACTACGAGAAGTATAAGCGCAACTGAGCTGGATTGATGAGTCTTTTCATGCATTTTGAATGTTCTCTTCTGTGCTAGATGGCTCGTCGCGACTGCTCCCCATCATACCATGGTCAGTGTGTTCTCCAGACCGACAAGACTCGCTTTCAGCGTGAGCCGCCGCGGAGTGTGGAGGAGACTTAGCTAACAACCGAGCTCGAGAGCATAGCCACTCCTGCAAGAGAATTTCAAGCATCCAGAAGGTGCCCGCAATAAAGCGCTCTACAATTCTGCAAGCCAAGCTAGGCAGCGTTCGGCTTATTCCAAATATTGAATTCCGCGGGGTTTGGGATCTGATGGCTTTTTCGGGCCTGATGCCTGGCATCTGTCACTGCAGATACAGAGCCCTTAAATCCTAAACCCAACATGTGGATCCCTAAAACCTAACCCCTGTAGTGTCTGGCTTTAAAAATGCTTAAGGGATTCTGTCAATGGTCCGTCACCTGCCCTCGGTTCCTGAAGCATAAAGGTTGACGAGTTCGCACTCCACCCAAGACTTACTGGTGCTT